AAGACTCAAGATTTGATAAATGATTAAACAAACATTAGACTTTTTATGACATTAGTTTTCAGCATTTCATCATAATGTCAAAGATAAAGTGCATCTGTTGTTATAGTTGAAAGTTGAAACTCATATTTAAATTTCGAATATTGTCCATGGAGTTTTAAATCATAAGTGTATAATATCGATATATTTTGCAGTTAACTAAAATGGAACTTCTATGTAAAATTGTCTGGAATCCTTAATGTTTTATGAAATGGTTCACACAATCAGATCATATTTCGATATAAAAGTTAGAGGATTTTATTGAATAAACCTTTCTATATTTTAAAACACAGAAATCGTTCTTCTGAGAGTCAAAATTATTTGGTTAAAATTTCTACTAGGAAAGTAAACAGATACAAAAAATAAAAATTTTTTATCTCATAAATCAAGCAAAAATGCAGTGTTGAATTACTAAATGATAAACAGATGGCGCCCCATAGTTGGTCACGTTGTATCAATACTACGAAGTTCGTTGAAATATCCCCATAACCCTCAGAAACCATTTTTCGCAGCAACATCAATATAGATACTTTCCATAAAACTTGCCTTTACAAGTTACAACAGCAAATGGTGAGCGCAAAAACAGAATTTCGGGAATTTATTGTTGATACAATTTTGATAGGGTCAACTGTTACAAAAGGCTATAATTTGATCATGCATGTTTTCAAGCAATTTAAAAGTTTCAAACTTTTAACTGCTCAAAATGGAGGGAGCAGAGACATTTCTCCAAAACATTTTTATGTACTGGAATAAATGATATCTACCTACTCTTCCTTATTCTTCAGGCTGAGACTACGGTAGGTATTTTTATGTAGACGACCGACGAGAAAGACGTTTTAGGAGAAGTAAAAACAAAGAAAACCCATCTTCATTAAAGAAAAGAAATAGTAAATCGAAAAACATAAGTTATATCGAAAAAAGTTTTTTTCGTATTATGATAAGTACAATACAAGAAAATAAAAAGAACGAAACGATTCTATTTTTGAATATTATTAATTCCCATTGAGTGACCGATAGTCTATACAAAAATAATGTTTTTAATATCCAACATGACTAGTACTCGAATCAATACTATTCAAATCAACTGTATTCAAATTGGCATAGAGATGTAGTACTTCCAGGTTACTTTTAAGATGTAAGAGTGCTACTTTATATCCTTGGTAATATAACTCTCCATCGCCAGAATCCCTTTCCCTCCAAAAACCCAGGAAAATTATTAGACAAAAGCAATGTATTTCAGTACAAGAAGACATACGCACAGGTGAAAAACTAATGGCGATGAAAGATTGGAATGGGAGAATGCCTGTATGACTGATTGTGTTTAGCGGCAAAAAGAGTAAAAAGGCAAGATCGCTTGCCACAAGATGTATTTGTTCGTTGGAGAACAGGCTTTTGTTGTGAAGAAAATCAGAAAGCATGCAAAATATACTAAGTTTGGGAAGCGAAGAGAGTAAATTACAAAGATGTTTTTACAGGACTACATCACGCAAGCCTTATCTTGAGCCATAATCGCCAAAAGTATTGGTAACAATTGGCATCGATGAATCTCTGTGAAAGTGATTTGGTTAATCAATAAGGTCAGAAGAAATATCATCGACGTTCTCAGGTTTAAAGTTATCAGACGTCCTTTCATTTGCACCACAGTCATCGTTTTGCCCTTCACTAGATTCAATTGATAAATTCTTCCTTCTGCTTTTGAAAATGCCCAGAACCGCAAGTAGAGGAACTGGTAACGAGTTCGGTAGCTTATTATCACTTGAGGTTTTTGTGTTGGGTGTAAGAGATGTAATAGCCGTGTCGATGTGACTGAATTCGGAATCCTGCTCGATTGTTGAGCCATGAAATGTTAAAGTTCCTTTCAAGATGTCACGAACCTGAAAGCACATAGTGAAGATGCAGGTTGTCAATATATTGTATCAGCATATCGATATATAAAAGACAACTGTCTCAGCTCATCGTTTTACCTGTTTTAGACCAGCCAGGAAGCTATACAACATCCATACCCTCATCTTGAGTTATTTGTTCTTGTAGATGATCTAAATAATAAGCACATTAGCAAAGACACTATAATTTAGAGGCAAATATATATGAAGAAACACTCAAAATACAAAGTTACGGATTTTCCAATTTACAAGTTATCTCGTACAGCCATAACCTCATTTAATGCCATTTCAAATAATCGTACAGGCATTATAGAGAGGAAAGCCAAAAGTACATCAAGCACCAATCAATATTTTATATAAAAAGTGATAAATGAAAGCATCGTATTTATGTAGGTGTCCATTTTAGAACCACAATAGATCGATATTGACTGAAGTTTATCTACTTCCGCTTTGAAATGAGAGACTTGATCTTGAAGACGTTCATGGTCCTAAAAAATATCAAACACACGCTTGTTTGAATGTTCCCTGTTAAATTTATAGACATGGTGATTTAAATAAAATTGTTAAGTAACGGCAACTGTTCAACGAAGAGTAAAGGGGTTTTATCAAGTTACTAAGTTTTATACGTACCAAATACTTTTCAAAAAGGCCGCAAAGATATTTTCAAAAAATTTTTTTCTCAATCCATTAAAACTATTTAAGTTTTCACGCAGCTGTAGATGAGATTGATTTATTTTATGTAAGTATAATTTTTCAGCCTTTACAAAATTTGAAAAATAATAGAATAAACTTGATTTTATTTAGACACAAATTCCGGAAATAACAAATTTCTCTAAGAAAATAAATTACATGGCTATAACAGTACGTTTATTCGATTTATCTAATGTTTTTGTTTGATTTAGTCTAGTTTTTGTCATGACTTAGCTTGTCGTTTTTTGCTGATTTCTATTCAAATAAAAATATTGGCATTTCAACGATTGGTTTTTGCATATGAAAGTAAATTAAAGTGCTTTGGAGCACATGCAAATAAGTTTTCATTCTGCAACAAATATGAAATATTCTGTAAAGTAGGACAAATTAGCACATCAGAAGAAAACAATTGCACAGTTTCTACACATCAGATGAAAACAATTGCACAGTTTTCACACATCAGAAGAAAACAATTGCACAGTTTCTACACATCAGAAGAAAACAAATACACAGTTTCTACACATCAGAAGAAAACAATTGCACAGTTTCTACACATCAGAAGAAAACAATTGCACAGTTTCTACATATCAGAAGAAAACAATTGCACAGTTTCTACACATCAGAAGAAAACAAATACACAGTTTCTACACATCAGAAGAAAACAAATAAACAGTTTCTACACATCAGAAGAAAACAATTGCACAGTTTCTACACATCAGAAGAAAACAATTGCACAGTTTCTACACATCAGAAGAAAACAATTGCACAGTTTCTACACATCAGAAGAAAACAAATACACAGTTTCTACACATCAGAAGAAAACAATTGCACAGTTTCTAACATCAGAAGAAAACAATTGCACAGTTTCTACACATCAGAAGAAAACAAATACACAGTTTCTACACATCAGAAGAAAAACAATTTCACAGTTTCTACACATTAGAAGAAAACAATTTCACAGTTTCTACACATTAGAAGAAAACAATTTCACAGTTTCTACACATCAGAAGAAAACAATTTCACAGTTTCTACACATCAGAAGAAAACAATTGCACAGTTTCTACACATCAGAAGAAAACAATTGAACAGTTTCTACACATCACAAGAAAACAAATACACAGTTTCTACACATTAGAAGAAAACAATTTCACAGTTTCTACACATTAGAAGAAAACAATTTCACAGTTTCTACACATTAGAAGAAAACAATTTCACAGTTTCTACACATCAGAAGAAAACAATTGCACAGTTTCTACACATCAGAAGAAAACAATTGCACAGTTTCTACACATCAGAAGAAAACAATTTTCACAGTTTCTACATACTTGCTGTAAAGCAGTGATGTCAGTTCGACTTGGATGACGAACTTTCGATGATAGTTTTGACAAAAACGCCGTACTGGCAGATGTTCTGTTGGATCTTGGTGACATCATAAATAAATCGTCATCATCAGGATCACTGGGGAACATGTGAGATGACGGGGATGACTTGTTGTTCTCTAAATTGTTCGCAATATTACAACAATGCACAAAATTCTTCGTCAACAGTGATTAAAATAAACAAAATCATGTGAACATTCACCATAAAGAAAAATATTTCCAGACTCCAAGAAATTTTTGCCTGATAGTACAAATATTGAACAAACAACATTACACGAAAATAATTTCGTTCAAAGTTTTTTCCATTTCAGCATTATACTTTTTGATAAAAAAAACTGATGATGATGAAATCAAGACATTTACCCTTCATTTCAACTGGTTTCTTTTTTTCATTAACAGAGGATTTATTTTCCAATCTGTTTTCAGCATTGTATGTATCATTGATTTCCGGTCCTCTCTTTGATGGAATTTGTCTGGTGCCTCGCAAGACAGCCTGTAATCCATTCGTTATTCTTGAATGAAAAGCATCTTGGTTCTGCAATAATTCATTTTGATTGAATGAAGAAGTCGCGCATGCGTATTTGAACTATTTTGTAGATTAACTTTGGCCAATGAAAGTAAGCACAAGAAAATTACAGACTTGACTGTAGTTAAACTATAAAAAGTAGCATGAAAAAAGTAGGAAACAGTAATAGTTCTTGGAGAAATAGGAAAAAATTATTATTTGTGAATATCAAAATATATTGTCTCATATTACACAATACACATTAAGTCTAAAGATAGAAATTTAACAGAAATACAAATTGTTCATAATTCCAACAATTTCCACTTAAATTATTCAAAATAGGCAATACATACGGGAAACTCAGGAGCGACAGATGACTTTAGTTGTTCTTTTGCCAGATAAACCATTTTTCTTTTAGGATCAAGCTAGAAAAATATTCAAAATACATTAAAACAAATTCACTTGAGCCGCCAACATCTCAGAGACAAAGTTAAAGTGGAACTATGATCTTCGTGTTTTCTTTCATTTAAGAAAATTTGACTGCGTGGTGTGACTGTAAAAAGAAAAAAATCAATTTGAGGGACTATTTATCTTTTTATGGACGTTTAAAAATGTCATTTTTTATTGCCGTTTTTGTTCCACGGCGTGTTTGAGAGCGTGACGTAGATAGGGTAAGCTGTTCACATCTTCAAGCATTTGTTTGAATAACAAATAGTCGGTGAAAGTGTTTTCTCGTTGAATTTCAAAGGTAATTATGACAAAACGGTTCGTGGCAGTTGGCTGTAGCAATTTTCCAGACAAAAAAAAAAGGGGGTATTTCAGTTCATCTTATACCATTTTTTTGGCGATGAGCGTGTCGAAATTTCACCGGCCAAATCTCTCACGAAAGACGTTGATTTTATTGAAAAGCTGTCAAATAAACAAATAAATATCTCAAAACCCTACTAATTTAGCATTTTTTCTACAATATGGTGTTTTCATCAATATAGTAATGCATCCAAAATGATCCGATGATAACACTATAAAAAAGATTTCAAACACAAAATCGTCATTAAAGTGAGTTGGTAATTTATTGTTAATACAACTCCATTAGTCCGTTAACAATTGTTACTGTAATGGGTTATGTCTTAATAAAGTGCACACAAAAATAAACAAGTGTTGTTACATTTTCTTCTTTGCTGCATACCAACGATAAATAGACGTAGTCGACTAAATCCAAAGAGAGACCATCAGCAAATATACCATCCCAAAGGGTTAAAATATCTTCCATCGTAGTAAACTTACGACCATACAACAATCGTACCCATCGTCTCTAATAAATCAACCAGAAAAACGATATAAAGTCTACAAAGTCGTTCTCGATGCAAAGTACAATCTTAACACACTTTGCATTTTCTACGCCTTTTAATTCGTCCCTTCTAAACAAACTCCGCCAAAGTTTTCTCAATACCGAAATTCTAACAATGTTACAATTGCAAATAGTCAGTTTCTTTGAGAATGGTGCAGTCCTTCTGTAGTAATTCAGACAAAATTGAAAGCTGCACAATGTCTTTCATAATGGCTACGTCTTCAACAAACTCTATCGTCTCCATTCGTTTTGCTAATCCAGCATAGGTTGCTTTGTGCTTGTCTTTAGACTGTGAAAGTGTGTAGAAATGCTTCTACATAGCTGGATAATTTCTCCAAAAGATTTCACTGCACGAGACGAGGATGCAACCCATCTAGTTGTCAAAACTTTGTCGACTTTGCGCAGTTGGTTATCCAGTTCTGCAGCAATAATTTTTAGTTCTCTCTGCAATTTAGCAGACTGAGAATAAATTGCATAAATCTTACCAAAGAATCTATTGAGATTAAGGTAACTGTTTTTAACTGGTTCAAACGAGTTTTGTCTTTCTTACATTCAGAAAAAGTTTATTAGTTTGTTTAAGCAATTTTCCCCAAAAATTATTCTTCAAATTATAAATCTTGGATTTCTTCCTTTGGAAATCTCCCAAACTTATTTCTTAAAATAAAAATCCACGAACAATACCAACAGCCTCAATAAAGTCCGATAAAGCCCGTGATAAAGTCCCAAGTCCGATCAGCATAAAATCGAGAAGATGGCAACAATGTGCTACAGTCTGAATATGCTCAAATAGTTTAGCGAATAAACTATCATTCTGGTAAATATTTTTTTATCGTGCAAGCACCTTAGATGTTTTTTTTGATCCGTCCCTAGTTATGCACATTTAATAGTAAGCTCAATTTCCTTGTTTCTTTAAAATGTTACTGAACTCATGAAAAAGCTTAAAAGTTTAAACTTTTATTCGCGACTGTAGGTAGGTCATAGTGTGGTATGCTTTATTCAGTAGAATTTTAGTCTTACTTGTGACGTTTCTACTAATTAGTACTAACCATTCGTTTGATCTCGTTCTACTTGTCACTTGGTTTGAAGAGCGTTACTCATACAAAATTATTAGTTTTAACATACAATTATGAAATATTACAGCTTTTCGAATAAGGCAAATGTTTCACACACATACAACCATGTGCTGGAAATTATTGATTCATTGTACGAGTTTTACGTAAATAAAATTGTCAAGTAAGTCTGCCGTACAAACAGTGCATTAATTACCAATAAAACAAATTAAAGAAGATAAAAATCCTAATTAACTTCAGTCTGTTGTGCTTCATCTGTTTGCGGAGGTGATATCTCCTTTGGAGGTCGATTTCGTTTAAAGAATCCAAGCTGAAATACATAAAATAACTTGTAATGTGAAATCTATTTTAAAAATCATTTGGCTACTAAACATTCCCCGGAGATGTTTGTGAGAACTTTCGAACAGGTGCAATTTAAAAGCCTGTGCAAACACAGTAAATATCTTATATTCCTTAAATGCTACATGCAGTGCACGAACAAAGATAAGACCTTTCCATGAGAAAGAAAATTAAGGAGTATAGCGTAGTCTTGTAGAGTGGTAAAAGAAATACTACTAACCATAACAACTATGTGACTGTGACAAACACGAATTACGCGACATTTACATTTGAGTAAGTCGTGGTAAAAATTGATAAAACATAAATGGCCATCCTGACTTTAAAAAAAAATTACGACTGCCAAAGAGTATTTTGGTAAAACACGACAATAGACACTCCGCAAATAGTAAACATAATTTAATCTAAACGTTCCGACAAATGTTACATGCCATCTTCAGTAGAAACTGTTTGCTTTTTGGCCTAAACTCCGCGTCACTTATCCTAAACTTCACCAACTTGCTGTTGCTATTTTAAAAAACAATTTCTACTGAAGATGACATGTAACACTTGTCGAAACGTTTAGATTAAATAATGTCTGCTATTTACGGAGTGTCTATGATCTTGTGTTTTACCATCCTGAATTTATTATAGCAAATTCAAACCTTATTAACACAAAACTTTTTTGCTTACTTTGAATAAAGCGAAAATACAAAGAGCCAGTAACAAAACACCACCAAGCACAGAGACAATAATAACCCACACTGGAGTTGATTTGGATTTTCCAGGAGCATTTTCAGGAGTTACTCGAATTGTGACCTACAATAAACGATATTGTAAAAAACAACAGTTCAAACAAACTCAGAACGCCTTCCTTAAGGGTAAACCTGTATGAAAGTTATCAAACATAAAAATTCGCATGTTTAAGAAAAAGTAAAATTGCTAACCTCCTGATGTCCACGATGAGGTGATTCGCTCTCATTAAGATTGTTGACATATTCAGCATTAAATTGGACAATCATGAGAAGATCTTTAGGATAATACTAAATCCGTATAATAAAGTTGCAGATATTAATGGCAAAGTTTTGCAAATTTCAAAATACTTATGGCAAAGTTAGGTAGTTGATAACGCAAATACCAATATACCACCATCAGAATACCGGTAAATACAGGTATACCGACATCAGAATACTGGTATATACAGGAATACTAACATCAGAATACCGGGACATACAGGTATACTGACATCACAATACCAGTATGTAAGGTATACCGACATCAAAATACCGGTATATCAATAGTGAATTTGAAGTTTATTCTTTGAAAAATAAAAAGCATATAGCACGTGTTTCCACGAAAAAAACAACCAAAAAATATTTGTTCTTCAAATAGAATTTTGACGCCTTTTTTTAAAATAGGTATTTATGTATTTGTCTTTGAATTGCTAAACCAAAACTGCCGAATCGTAAGATGTATTTATGAACTAGGACAGTGACTATCGCCTGGCTGCATGTTTTAACTTTAGTTTGTAAACGTGATTGTGATAAGTTCTACTGGACGAAACTTTCATTTCGTTACTACGCAGTATAAAATACCGAAATATCCGTATTCATGTATACAAAATATCACCAAAAACCGATTTCAAAACAAATTTTGACATACCGGATTTCAATAATAAACTCTCATTCAACTACTGTCTGTGTTGGGAAGTTGTTGATGCAACACACCTCGTCAAAGTATTTTTGGAAGTAAGAAATGTATTGCCACAAATGTTCATTTATTTTATGCCTTACCGCAGCAAGAGTCGCAGTCCACAGCCGCACATTTAAGTCTGCCACAAAACGACCCTTTCTTTCAATTTCTTTGATTGTACAGGTCACCAGTCCTGAATCCATCGTCCGAGGTGACTAGAAAGAAGAAAGTTTGACAACAATGAAAAAAATTGAATCAAAGGCATTGCACCTGACTCGCGGATGAGATGAAAACAAAATCGAAGCAGTTTGAATGTTTTGATTAAAACAGACTAAGTAATTCATCAATATTACTTGATGAACAACGATACAGGCAAAAATAACGCGTTTTTTGTATTTGGCAAAACACATAATTTAGATTCTAGAAGACACTTTTAAAGTAAAGTATTCTTTACACTTGAGAAGAACTCGAATATCTAAAGCTTTAGGCAATAAAACAAATAATAAAAAATACTGTGGATAATTTATCTAAAAAGTTCCAGTATACGTTGTCTGTTGTTATTTTGCCACTTCTAACCCGGCTGCAAAAACTCCAAGCCATTTCATACAAAAACGAGATTTAAATCAAAGTAATTGCACTATCGCCTCACAAACTTGGGTCAATTTTCAGATATTTTGCTTTCGTAGTGGTCGATCTTATTTTATTTAAACCATTGTCTAAGATAAACTGCAATCGTGACCATACCAGGGTTTCTGTATTTCTTCTCCGTCTAGTTCTTCCTTGCGGGTCCTGATAAAAAAAATATGTCGGTGACAAGGCATCCACGAATTTGAATTTTCTTAAAGTGCATATAAAGTGAAAGTTTCATACACTTGAACAAATATTCAGACTAATAAAATAGAGACTTTGTCGTGGTGACAAATCTAAAAATACGTCTAAGTGGTATTTGCTATCTTTAGAACTATTTTCAAATATTCAGACGTTTACAAGGATTTTGATATATTTATGACCAATACAAGTTGAGTGAAAAGTGACAAAGTTAAACACCCAAAGTCGTCCTCGCCTGCAAACTTTTGGCCGCTCATCTGACGTCACACAGAATACGGAAGTCGCCAAGCTAATAGTAACTGCTATTTCAATGGTGAGAATGTGTACTTCTTATGATGAAAATTTAGCGAACATAGCAGCCAAAAAGTTCGCCAAAAAAATTGTCAAAAATCGTCAATTTGACAGCTATAAACTCGCTCTGAAAAGACTACATTTAATTCCCTTGGCAAAAACGGGTTTGACAGCAAGTACTTTTTACAAAGCCAATAAAAAAAGGGAACAAACACTTCACTAAGATAGCACTTTAAATGGCTATAAGTTGAATATAATTAAAATTAAATATGAGTAGAGACATATATTTAACATAGAATCAAACTATGTGCTTATATTTAACATATTAGGTGTTTGCATCGGTCGTTTTGTTGGTAGAAATCCCATATAGTGAAAAGAATTTATGTTGATTTCATGTTCTGTTGAGCATTGGCACTTTGATATAACGTAAGATAATTCTAATAAGTTCTTGTTATTTATAGACACAAAGAACGGCAAACTTAAAAATCTGTAACCAGCAAATGTGCAACTCGCAAAAAAATAATTAAGCTAAATACATGTTTGTAGATGTAGATCGTCCAGGTTAGTATAGTCCTGAAAAGGACTGTTGTTGAGGTTGATGACGTTTCGACAATTTGGTGTAGTCATCTCAGAGTCAAGATGAGCTGAGGATAATTTGACTCTGAAGATTACTACCGCTAAGGTTGTCGAAACGTCAGTCAACAACAACAAAAATAGTCCTTCTCAGGATTATACTAACCTAAACCATCTACATCTACAAACATGTAACAATATTCCGGGGTTCAAAGCATTTACTTTACGTTAAATACATCGCGCAGTCTCAAACAATTAGTTTATTCCTGGTTATCCTTACCGCAGTTAAAGACAGGTTAGCAGGATTCAAGGCTCTTCCACTGCATTCTGCGTTGTTGGCATCACCTCTTCCCTGAAACGACATACGTAACTTAATGTTCATTAAACAGTTGGTAAAGATGTAAATAAGATTGTTTACAGAAACGTCTTAAACCTAATGCTTTATATCAAAAATTGTATGTGTAGTTTACATCAAACAAACAAAACATAACATTTATGACATAGAAACAACAATTTCAACATAGCCTTGTAAACATTTCCACCATAGCCTAGCAAACCTTTCCACAGTGCTTTACAAAAACTAAACAAAATTAAACTGTGAACTTTCCCATTCCAATAATCCACTTCGATAAATTCACAGAAAAACATCGCCGATGTAAAACATTGTCAAAATAAAAATCATACAACTGCCAGAACTGACCTTAATACTGACAGGATACAGAAGATAATTGAATTCCTTGTCTTTTTCGGTTAGAGGGACGCTTATATGAAGTTTCACATCTTCTAAATCACTTTGACCTTCATTTGCAACCTAAATGAAGTATACACGTCGTGTAAGTAAACCTATAATAAGATCCAAAACAAAAAATCAACTCAAAAGTTGACGGGCATTTATGTTAGGTAATATAATGCATGCATATAGAGGTACGTCAGATGTCTGATTTAAGTCATAAAAGCATCATCAAAAAGTCATAGAAATCAAATATATTGAGACAAGAAATTTAGAAATATTTTCAATGGCACCAAATAGCGAAGATAATTTTCTTTTTCATAGTTAGGAGGTGACCTCTAAAATGACTATATAACTAATTATTTCTTCGTTATACGGGATTATAGTTTTGAAAAGAATATTGGTGGAAGGGAAATTCATCTTCTCCTTACCTCGATGGTAATGGTTATTGGTGGTCCAATAGAAGAAATGTTCACAGAGCTATAGTCGTTGTCTATTATATTTAAATCAGGACCTTTTCTGGATAGTTTAGTGACTTAGGAACAGTTGTGCTAAAACACAAAGTTCATCTTTTAAATAAAATGTTTTAAAGTTTATCAGTTGGTAATATCGATAACAGTGGCGGATCTAGGGTACGTCAAAATATATAATACATTTGACCAAAGTCACTGCGTATCTGCAAAAGGTTGTTTACGATGACCGATTTACGTATTTAAAAGACAACGAGTGCAACGGTAGCTAAGTTACATCAATATATCAATGATTAGCTTGTAAAGAAACTTCTTTACAAATTCACAATACTCTTAAGTTTTCAGACACAGCAGTCTTCTTAGTGAGATGCAACTTAACCAAACTTAAAATAAAAGCAGATAGTCCCACATACCCGGTAATTTCTAGTCTGACATTGCGCTTGACAATCATAGAAATGGTGGCGTTGTTATTTTCATCATTAATCTCGCTTCCGCTTAGCCTAAAACAAAGTAAAAACATAAGAAAGAAATGAAATGACATGTAAGATTAAGAATTAACATCACAAAAGCACATAACGCATTGATTGCATGAAAGAGTTTGCTAAATTCGAGGCTAAATTACAAAGATCGATAACCATCTAAAACAATGAAAGATCTCTTTCATAGCTTATTTATATACGTTACTGTACAAACACAACACCAAGCAGGAGAAGCGAACAACACTGTTCAAAAAAACCTATGTTATCATCACGATTGAATAGATCAATCTCGTGGATCCATGTTTTTGTAAAGAATTATATTTCTCAAGAATTCTAATATTCAGAAAATTATATTCCTCGAGGATCAGTTATAATGAAGTTAATGTAATTGATCATATGTAACACAAAATATTAGTTGTACGCACGGTTCATCGTAGCGTTTATAAAGCCACAAGAAGCATGTAACTTTAACAAATATTCCGTCTTATATGGCAAATAACCAATTAAAATATAAAGAAAACAGACTTACGCGTTCACTCTAACAAAAATTTCCAGATTCTTTTTTTTACCAAGTACAGCGGTGGTCGAGTATGTAATTTCCAGTGTCACCTGTCAAAAAAATCTAAAGATGAACTACTTTACGCTCACATAGTTTATATCAGTTGTAAAACTTCTCAATTGAAAAAATACGCCGGTCGTGCATGTGCTACGCGCATGTGCGCCGAAAAAATAAGCAGATCTTCTCCTGATCTTCTTTCCTGCAAGCGCCCCATTACGAAACCAGGGTCTGAAAATCGCTTCAAAAAAACAGGTACGGACTGCGTACACGTGGTTAGCCTAAGCCAAGTGTTCAAGTTCGAGTGTGTATGAGCAATATAAAATGATTTTAAATCTTGAAAAGAATGGTGGTTAAAAGTATTAATGTGATAAAGAACACTTGATATTAAAAAGTTAGAATAGCGTTTTCCAGTAGTAGGAGTATTTCCCAAGTGTTCAAAGATTCTGGTGTTCATAAAACGTGTCGTTTCACCCATGCTGAATTTCTAAATGAAAGACATCACTTAACATCCAAGGCTGCTCCATTCCCCTGAACCTTTTTAGTTCAACCCCTTATTTTATATTTGCACTTTTTCCATCACTCTCCAGCCCATTTTATCTTGTCAACTCCATTTTACCATTCCTTACATAACATCAGATCTTAACAATAATCTGAAACCTTTAACTATGTAATGTATTAAAACTCATTTGCATTTTTGGTTTGTAGTTGCAGTATTTTCTAAATGATATTTTAATAGGAGATTTTTGTCGACAATTCTGTCCCGATTTGAGCTTAAGTTTTACCTTTGAATGCGGAGGAATTGTAAATATAAGTTTTATTGTAGTTATAGGCTATAGCTCATATTGACTCTATTATATATATAATTCACTTTATTTTTTATCGAACCCACGCCAATAAAAACTTGAAAGAAAAACACATTTAGCTTTGCATTTTCCTGACTAGAGCATTGCGAGATACACAAATTGTGTACAAATATGGCGAATAAAGTCTTTTGCATAAGTCGCCGAAACGAGACATATTAGATGTTTGTGATCTTCTGCAAAGCTTATACTTGTAAAATATCTTTAGCTGCTGAGTGTTAAATTCAAACTTTAATCAGTAAAATAGAGAGCGGAGTATACGCTAAAACGCAACCGTTTTGGTAATTAACGAAAATATATAGTGTATGCTACATCCTGAAGAAACATAGAGATCAATAATATGGACGTCAGTTGGCCTAAAGGTCGGATGTCTTTTGCGTAATAAAATATGAACAGCGCATGTGCGTGGCAACCCATAATAATATGCCTGTTCTTAAAAGCCTCAATGATTCACAACTACTTCATATGAAACCCAAATGGCTAACCTTTTGATTTGGATCAAGGGTCCTTGAAGTTGAAACAAATCGTAATCAGGTCTACTTAGTGTTGCATCTGGCACAATTCTGAACGATCTCTATAAAATTGACAGAGAAAATTCACAATGTCTACAAACAAATCGTTATCGTTCATTAATACATAGTTTATTAACAAAAATACTGAAACAATAACTTACATCGGATACATCGAAATCTTCATATTGTAATGACGGGTCATGAGTTAATGCAATGGTAGGATTGTACGCAACTTCGCCAGAACTGCTGAGTTCAACAGTCACTTTTCTGGAATTGGTTTCACCAATAATTATTTCATTTTGATCAACACTAAACAAAAAAAAGTTACACACCAAATCAATTCAATCCAGTTAATACAAATAATATAGCTGCTGCACACTAAAGTTAAGATTTATGAGACAATGTTAGTGATGACAATATAAAGACGATTCGCTACGAGCCTACGACAGTTGAAAATTTTGCTTAAACATATGTATTTAGTACAAATACATAAAATTAGTTAAAATACACAATAAGACTATTCAATGTTGACAAAGCTAAAAAAAGTGAACGAAAAACGTTTTCAAATGTATTTTGTTGTTGCTCTTTTTTGAACTTGTCTTTCAATACCTATTCAAGTATTTCAAACCAAACATGTTTTCTTTCAATGAGCTCAGAATGATTGATGGTCGCTCGGTATATCACCAAAAAAACTGGAAGCTACGAGCGACCGACGCTTCCCGAGTATTTGAGCCCTTTTCGACATCTCCCCAGCGTGTAGTAAGTAGTTTTAAATAATTTTGTTAAAATTTTGTTTTGAAAACCAAAGAAAATCTAACACGCATAGTCGCGCAAATCTAAAAGTGCAAGTAAAGAATAAACGAAAATGTTACCTTATTGTCGTTTTGAGATCATAATTGCATTCGTTGTCAGTACAATTCACAATAATGGTAGCCTACAAACAGGTTTCTCAGTACAATCAACAATTCACAATAATGGTAGCCTACAAACAGGTTTTCTCAGTCTAATTAACGACAATGGTAGCCCAAAAACAGGTGGTCTCAGAAACAATTCACGATAATAGCGAGTTTTAGTTTAGCGTCTGCGGCAAACGATAAACCTCAACTACCTGCTTGCCGTTGAGGTTTGCCGTTTCGAAAAAACTTGAATATAGTTTGGCGTTTTGCATTTGTCTTTTATAATTTGCATTGTCAGGAGCTAGATTTCATGTTTTGTTATACGTTTGTCGATGAAAAGACATATTCGTGATGTATATTCACATAAAATAACTACATTGGGCCATAAACGTCACTTGGTGTATTAATAGTAAAAAGCTTGCCGTACATCACCTACCACAAGAAGTGCTTCATGCCGTTAAAACCTGAATCGCAACGTAAGCTGCAAAGACTTGATCACGTGACATTTGCATTTTGTCGTCAACGCCAAACTAAAACTTTCTATTTGTAGCCTACATACAGGTGTTCATAGAACAATTCGCAAAAATGATACCCGGCAAATAGTTCGGCAGTTACATTGCGTAGTGATAACTTCACTCTTTCAATGTGCGATTCGCCAATGAAATGCTAATTGTTTTACAAGGAATTACTTTTCCATAAAACTGGTTATAAAACAACAAATAATGGCAAAAATTAGTTACGAAAGAATTTCATAAACCTGTTAATAAATCTGTGTAAATTTGCTCTGAACTTTTCACGGACAAATGTTTTAAATTTCCCATAAAAATCGGAATATTTAAGAAAAAATTTAATCAGAAAATTATATTAATCCCTAGTACTACTAACAAAAACTACTTTACAAACAGAAACTCTTCCTTACAAAAGTAGTAAGTCATATTCCAAATTATTCCTACCTGTTCCGTTCTAACAGAGCCTTTACTTGTATCCAAAACTGGACATAAAGTCGTATTTTCGCAGTTTGGTGGTAAAATTAGACTGTAATTTATTTTGAAACCGATGCTGTTGGCTCCAAGCCTCAATCGGTCCACAAGATTCTTTTCCTACAAATTCACAAAATGTAAGAAAGAATTTTAACGTACACAATGAAAAGAATTAGAAGTACTGCGATCGAACGTTTTGAAGCGACTATATGGGGTGGATAAAGCTGTTAGTATTTAAGCTTGAAAAAGCCACCTTCACATTAATTTCCCATTAAACCGTTTGTATAAAACGTAGTTTTTTCAAGATTTCGATTGATGAAGTTAACATTACTTCATTTGAGAAAGACTAAATGATTTTCTGTTGCAAGAACTTTGAAATACACGAAAAGCGCGTGAAAAGCAAAGTACTTGTGAGTCATGTAGTATTTTACAACGATATTTTGACATCCACATAAATTACATGATGTTAAAAAGACAAAACAAAAATATCAACAAGCCCACGGCGACATTGAAATACATAAAAACGGATCTCTGCAGCAAAACATTTATGTTAATAGTTATAGGTAGAGTTGGACACAAGAACACGTAAAATATTTTACGACACTTATTTGGCAAAACACTACATAAGGAATCAAAAATTTGAATAATCTGAAAACAAGCTCATGGCATTTTTGGTTCAAAGTATTTATTCGCGTGTAGAAACACACCAACAAAGAATCAATACGTAAGTGAAGTAACGTTAACAACCGTACAAAACTCTAATCCCCATACATGACCTCCTAAAGTGACCTTAAAGTAAACACTTACCTTAAACTCCCTAACTTTGACCTTAACCCTAATAATAGTAGCCCCTTCAGAATAATATAGCCCCTTTAACCATAATAGTAGCCCTTAGCCCCTCCCCTTATCCTTACAAACCATCATATCACGACAGAAATATGACAATGACAATCTTAGCCAGCGTTCACAGCATGAAAGCGACATTGGTGTTTGGTTTACAACTGTCTAGCCCAATAAGCACAACGACTAAGAAAGATATTGACTTACTTCAACATGAATCTGAGTGAATTCCTCACACGACGTAACATTCTTGCCTGGAAGTCTTATTTTATCACGCTTGGAGTAAATTTCATTTCTTGATTCATTAAAATACACTCTCTTATTAAAATTTTGCAATGTTTGATAATCCAAATCGAACTGGTATTGAATTTCTAGGAAGAAAACAAACAGACTCAACTAAGTATGTCTTCTGAATGAAAAGATTTAGGTTTCTTTACGTAAACACAATGTACGTCAAAAAAAACATTGCAATCCTCTCTTAACTATTCAGTCTACAGCAACTTTCCACCTACTCAACAGTGATTATTTATGAAAGAACAATAAACGCTTTTATGTTTTGACACAAGCTTGTGCAAAACCTATCTGTTTTTAGCCATATCGAAATTCCCTTTAATTTTTACAAATTTTGAGGTTTGCAGCATAAAGTGTGATTTTCATAATATTATAACAACACAAAAACCGTTACAAAAAAGACAACGAATCTTTTAAAAATAGGCATGTTTCGGAGAGCTTATGCTATCTTCGGTATATAAAAAAAATGAACTATTATTCAAAGCAAGCAATATTAATGTAAACATACGTTTTAAAAGTATAACTACTAAGCAACATGTTTATTCAAAGTTTACCAGTGGAGGTTCAATGTCCACCCGTTAGCTGAAAATCCAATCAAGTGAAAAAGCATTCTGTCTTCATGCACTGTTGAGCATTGGTATTTGAAGTAAACCTGCCAAAATGGCTGCTTTGACATCATATTTTACACAGTTGTGCCGACTAAATTTACATTTGTAGATAAAATGATAAATGCAGTGTACAGCTTTGTGTTTCTGTTCAAAAATGGAAGTTGTATATTCATATTATGTCAATAGTTGCGACTAGGGCCCTGTTCACACGATACCGGATTCGTTTGATACCGATTACTTTTCGTACCGGATAGGCCTTGCGTTCACACGGCTCGCTGCTATCCGATACGCTTTGTATCGTTTTTCCGAGCGATTTGACTCCGCTGTGGAAGTGGTATGAAAACCAATCCGATACGTTCCGTTGTCGTGTGAACGCTCGAACTGATACGTTCTACTTTGGCAACTAAGAAGTCCGTGCGATTTTTCAAAATGAGAGCAAACATAGCGATACAAACTATGTTTTAAATGAATAATCCGCCAGCAAATATAATATATCTTCAACATGGCATGTTTAAGCTTAACAATGTATTATCGCAGTGTGAAAGCTTTCTAGTATTATTGTAATGGCAACATATATTCGGTCGTATTTGGACTTTACACTCTTCCAGTCCTTTAGCCCATTCGTAAAAACTTTAATATGCCTAAGAAAAACTCTTTTAGTTATCTGTCAAAAAATTCTCATTTCCACGAAATATTTGAATTAGCAACCATCGTCGTTATCGCTTGCACGCACAAGTACTGGGGCGATATAAAAACTTATGTATCGTCTTACGAATCCGGCATCGTGTGAACAGAGTGCATTTTTCGTATCGGATTGCTCAGCGAATCCGGTATCGTGTGAACAGGGCCTAGGTCTAAAAATATGACTAATCTCCTTCCATCTTTATGAATGATCACTATACACTTTCATAAACAATGAAGATCACAAAAGCATGCCAAAACATGTCTATATTTTTAAAAGAATCGTGGTTTATTTGTATGATTTGCACAACAAACGGTTCTGTAAAAAATATTTTCGTTGATCTTATTACAATGATACAAATGTTGTAGCAAAAGGGAAACGAAATGTCAACAATACACAACAATACCTTCCATTCCGTATAAATACATATTTGATAGTTTTGAGCTTTATTTTCACTATTGTCACTGACACAAGTTGATTTCGATATTCTGTCATGCAATTCTCTTCGACCAAAAGCAATTACAATCATTTGAACAGAAACAGTTAATCATCTAAACTTCACCATGCATACGTACCATAAGGACCAGAGACACTTTTGCCGATGTATTGGAAACACACTGTAACATCCAAACTAAATAAAAAAAAAGCTTGTTACAACAACATCACAAGTGAACGGACTCTTATGTTCTGATTTCTCTC